AGGATCCTGGCCCCAGATAGCTGAGATGCATGTAAAAGGAATGATTTCAGAGTCCAGACTCTTGCATTTTCCCATACATAGAAGAGCACTAAATTCCTTAACTTGAGATGTCTGTTTCTCCTTAATTAGCAGTAATCTTTTGATGTTCCGACTACCTGGGTCTTTGTTGCAAAAACTCCTATGTATCCTGGCTCCCCCTTCACTCGCACTTGCCTCTTCAGAGCAGTTCCTCAGAGCTATCTGAGATGCTGTGTCCCGGGCTTAAGTCCTCAGTTTTGTCCACGGAATAATACATAACTCTCAGCTTTTAGGCTGTGCATTTTTTTCAGTCGACGGACTGAACTGTTATGTATAAATTATATCATTTAATATGAGTGCAACTGTCATCATCTCCATTTTATAGATTAGGGAATTGAAATCTTAGAAGTCAAGCAATTTATCCTGTGTCACTTGCTACTCAGAGGTAAAACTAGGAGCTGAAACCAGGCAGTCTTAGTTCAGAGCTATGCCCATAATCACTACACTCTATGACTCCTATCAATGTTAAAAGAAAAAAAAAAGACAAATTCATCTCAATTAAGGATAAAACAGATGTATTGTTAGATAAAACAATATGAGATGGGCTTTTCTCTATTCCTCAGTATTTTTAATATCTATCTTTCTGACTCAGGCAGTTTTCATTTCTTACTGTGGCATCTCCGTGGTCAGATCCACACTCTTCCACTAGTAGATTTGCCACTGCTGTGCATTTTTTCTTCCCTGAATATGCCTTTTTTCAGATAATCTTAATGTTCCTTTCTTTAACATAGTATTTTATCCAGGCTGTTTGACACAGATGAATAACTTCTGTTGTTAAATAAGACCAAAATATTGTCACTTTAAAATGTTACCATTACTAAATTAATTTTGTTTGCATTTTTAATGGTTGACCTTACCAGAATTCATTCTGAGTGTTTCTTGATATTTCTGCCTAATTCCTATATTTCTTTTATATAAAATTAATGCTTTGAAAGTACATTTTTTTCATAGCACCTATTTTGCCTTAACGTTCTTTGTTAGCATTTGTTCGTCTTTCAGAAAATCACAATGAATCTGCAGCAGCTGAGCAGTCTGCACTTCTGCAAGCTCTCTTTCATCTCCTCAGAACGCTTTCTATATATAGTGCCTCTAAAACCCCTTTTCCAAATTGTTAACATACCTAAGTGATTTCCAAGATGAGCCCAAGCTTCTTTTTTACTTGAATACTTAATAGAGTACCTTTGTTTCCTAACAGGCCTAAAATGCCTTCTGTCCTGTTTAGAATTCTGGTGGGTTAGTCTAATTTATTTTGTGCATCTTTTCATTAATTAAAGTGATAAAACTGTGAAACTTTTCATCTAAAAAAAGCACAAAAATTCACTAATGTGCTGCTCTGAGAAGATAAAATATGCTAACAATTGAGTTTACAATCATATAAATTAGGAAATAGTTTTCATATGAAAAAAATTATTCACTTTACAAATAGATTTTTGTTTTTTGGTATGTTTCTTTTAAAACCGAAGATTCTCTATAAATCCTAAATAAAAATCTCTTTAAAAATACTTTAAAAATTCTTCTCAAATATAAATAGGTAAGGTAGCATACTTTAATTTGGGGAATAATTATTTTTACAGTATGTCATTTCAGGTAGATTGAAAAGAGATATAATTCATAGATACAAAAGCTTCCTTTCCTCAGCCTTGTTCTCAATTTTTCCTCTTTTGTAGAATTCTAAACTTTTAGATTCAAAATTAAGTGCTTTTAAAAAACATACTTTTTATTTTTTCATGCATTTGATGTAGTTTAATGGTGCTAAACACTCGGAAACTTTTATGGATTTTACTCTTCTTAAAGATAACAACCATATTGACAAAGGTGGGGGAAAAGTTGCAAGATGCCATCTGGACAATACTAATAATTATATATACCACAGAATAAATTACTAATTTTGTGTTAAGAGTAACTGAACTATTAAAGATAATGCTATGTAGGATTCTGTGGAATATTAATTCTAATGATCATGAGATCATAACCTGCTGAAAATTATGTTATGCTGTTAGATCAACTTGAAGAAAATGTGGGTGATGGAATAGTGAGTGTTGATAAATATGGATATGAAATTAAAGCAGGTGTGAAGGTAGAAGCCTAACCAAGAGACTTAGGTCCAAGAAGTCTGATGAACGGTTAAAAGCATTGTAGAGCTTGCTGCCTCAGATACCACTGAGAATATTAAGATACTAGTGGATGGAACACCCTGTATAGGGACTGAAATTAAAGGACAGCAGCTAAAGAGAGTGCATCTGACTTCCTGGATGTGCTAGAGTGAAGGGATTAAGTTCATGCACTTTGGAGTAAGATGGAGTGAGGTGGGAGTCTAGCTCCACCATCTATTAACTGAATGTCCTTGGATGAGTTAACCAATCTAAATTTTAGTTTCAGTTTCCTCCTTGTAAAATAAGACTGGAAAACAGTACTTGACCTCTAAAAATTTTGTGAGGATTAAGTAAATGAGACAATCCATGATTAACTGGCACAGTGTGTGAGGTGTTTGCTAGTCATTATCTTGGCTGTAAAATCTGGCTCCCTTACTACATGGTGAGATCATTGAGAACAGGACTTTCTTATTTATACTTAGGACCTAACATAATAAATGTTTCTTGAACTACTGAATTGAATCCAGAGCTAATAATTTTCTCCTGTGTAAATGGGTGTTGGCCTACGAATTATTGATGAAGTTTCTCTGTTTCTTGATAGAACAATTTACTACCATTTTCACAATTTTATTTTTAAATGCAAATATTTTTTAAACAAATAACATTTTTAACTTTTAAAAATATAATATACATTCTCCTTTGACATTTTATCAGATATTCTACTCTCTGCTCTTTGAGGTTAAAACAGCCATTTTAAAATTAGTGTTGTTCCTTGATTACATTTTTTGCACTTAATTTATCCATTTAACTTCTTTTAGATTTATATTAAACTGTCTAATAATAACTTAGTATTCTTCTCCAGCTAAGGTTTTATATTTTGCACAGAGGTAAACCATTTTTCCTTTGCGCTTTTATTTGGACCCTGAAAATTTGTGGGTACCATTAACAATTTCCTCTTCTATAAACAGACTGGCAATCAATGAAATTGCTGTCTTGAAACCTTACATGAGAGAAGCATGATTTTCTAAGACATTCTATTCTGCCTGTCTACTCAAGACCCCTTCAAATATTTTGCATTTAAGTGCAATGAACTTAAATGAAGTGCAAAGAAGACCGAGAAGCCCCTAGGTGCATCTTTGCACATTTTCACCTTCCTTTGGTCTTTATAAACTCCTTTAGCAAAGTTGTTTGGGCCCTGGTACACACAGCTAGATGACAATATTTTTAGAAAAGTAGTTTCTAAAAGGCACAAATTAAATATTTTAAGATACTGGGAATCCACTTATTTCTTTATTCACCAAATATTTAATGATGACTTATTATACATTTCCACTAGGGATGACTAAGACAAAAACTAGTATGAAAACTTGTACAATTTTCAAGGAAGTTATTTTCCACTATACATTTTCGTAAAATCCATAACCACTCCATCTTCAGAAGCTAAAAAAAACTATAAATGTTTCTCAGGTTAATAGATATTTTACCCACGGTTTGATGAGAAAAGATAAGACTTTAAAACTGACTCTGCAGTTTTCCAATAGGGTTTCAGTGCTTGCACGATATTTTGATAGTTTGTTTACCCATTTGTTTTAATTACCAGACTGTACAGTTGTAAAGGGCAATAATCATGCCTCAGTGCCTGGCACATAATAGTTCAACGCAATTTGCATAATGAATGAATGAGTGGAATTGAAATGCATTTCCCACATGCAGCAACACTGACAAGTTTGCAACACTTCCCCTATGTGACCCAAGATTATGTCTGCGATCAATGAACTATGATTGGATTTACATTTCTGCAAAAGAACAGCAAATACAGTATTCCAAGTTCGAAATCCCCCTTCCCCCACTAGAATCATTACAGTAAACCATTAATCTAGTATTCATTAATTTGTAGTTCAAGATAATTCTGTCTTGGCTTACCTGAAATTTACCTCTTCAGGATTAATGAAGAATGCTATAGTAAACAAATTACAATGGACTTAAAATCATTGATTCTCTGTAATGGGCAGATGGCTAGAGCAATGATGCTTAACATTTTAAAGAAATTTACAATAATGGATCGGATGCAAATGGATGTCTTAATAAAGAAGGTTCATCCATTTAGTAAAATAAGCCAAACAGATCTTCACGTAGACATCCTCTGTATTTTATTCTATAACTATATGCGGAGACTTCCACCCAATAGCAGCCAAGTATGTAACACTAAAGAAGGCTACGGAGAATCTGTCCTCAGAATAAGAATTTTTGAACGACGAAAGGCAAGAAAAAAAAAAGACAATATAGAATAAATAATACGATGTGAAAGGTGAAAAGCGAGCAAAATCACTCTATAATAATCACATTTTCGGGGGAAGAAATCCAAGTTAAATTTCACTTCTGAAAAAAGAAAAGTCGTTTTAGAATTCATGCTGTCTTTAGTCGCCCAAGTTCTCCCGCCCCCAGTGGAATCACTGTACCTTTTTCCAGAAGTCTCGCAGAGGACCTTTTCCTTCTTTTTCTGGCCTTCCTTTGAAGCTCCGAGTTCCCCTTCCGGCTATAAAGCCGAGGGGGCGCCCTCCTTGGGAAAGCGCCTGGCTTTCCCTCTTCCCTTGCCTTCTCATGGCAGGCCCTCGGCCGGGCGGGCCTGCTCCCACCCCGCAGGAGGCGCGCTCTCTGCCTTGAGCCCGCCCCTGGGACCCGCAGCTCAGGTGCCGACGGGCGAGCGCGCCGCGGGGCCTTGTGGGGCGCGTGGTCAGGCCCTCCCCGCCTCCTGCCGGAGGGCGGAAGCCGGCGCCGGGCGGCGTTCTCACTCTGGCCGGGGAGCCGCCGCCCGGGAACGGCGCAGAGCTCTCGCCCCCGCGCCCCTCTCCACGCCTGCACCGGCTCCCCGCCGGGGGTGCCCTCCCTCCTCTGCGGGAGCCCAGAAGGTAGGTGGGGAGGCGCCCCTCACCCCTGGTGTGGGTTCCCACCCGAGTTCGCGCTGTTCACAGAGCCGAGGGGAGCTCCGCACATACCGTGGGCGTCTCTCTCTACCTAATCAAGTCGATCGCCTGTGCGCTGGAGCTTCTGGAGTTAGACTCAGGCCTGGGCCCCCAAGTTGGTGGGTTTCTGAGGTGTGTTCCAGCTTCCGGGCGGGTTCGAGCCTGGCCTGACCACCAAGATGGCTCCTTCCTGGGGAAGGAGAGGCTTGTGCTTGGAGACCATTGGTGGGTCGTTTAATGAGCCCCCATTGTACTGGAGGAACCGTGTAAAGTGCCGGAGGTGTCAAAGATGGGACACTCATGGCCTCTTCGCTCAAGGACCTCGCAGGCCTGGGCTGGAGATGGATGTAGAGCTTGGAGACATTCGGGGACAGGGTGGGATTGCAGTAGGAGGATCAGATAAAATGCTGTGGGACAGAGAGGCTTCCTGGAGACGATGTCACCTTAACGGAGGCCTAAGTACAAGGTATTTGGGAAATAGGGGCAGAAGTGGGGACTCTATTACAGATGAAACGGAGGGTAAGAGGAAAGGCAAGAAGCATGGAGAAAACAATATTTTAGTGTAACTACAATGTCGAAAGTGGCAGGAAATAAGGTGGGAAAGTGGTTTGTACCGAATTATGAAAGGCTCTTTATTATGGAAGTGCAGAAACACATTTTGGACTTGCGTTCCATCAGGATCCGTAGATTATAAAGACACCGTTGTTTAATATTCACAGAACGCTCATAATGTAGAAAAACCCCAGGATAACATAGACTGTGTTCATGAGCAGGATGTATTTTTCAAGAGCAATATTTGTGTCTAATTACACACACATTTGATCACTTTCTTGGGATTGTTTGCATTGCCTTTTTTCTACTTAAAATCGAGAGATTTACAGTGTATCCTGTAGTTGCAATGAGACGCAGTCACTTGGCAGAGAATTGTGTGTTATCTACCATTCTACTTGTTTTTCTTTGTGAAGACTTACTGCTTTAGAAGGGTTTTAGATCAAGTGCAATAAAGAGCCTTTGTAATTTGGAACATGCATAATGCGGATGACTTTCAGAGCAGGGAAATAGACGACAGATGACAAAATTCAGAGGTAAAATTTGGGAATGAAGGTAAGGAACACAAATTGATGACTCTGAGTAAGGGTTTTATTCTTTTTTTCTTGGGTGATGGTGGGAATACCAGTATTTGGAACCAGCTTTCCAAAACCGGTATTTTGGAGGCCTTGTTAAGATTTATAAAACGTTACCTTAAATATGTTTTGACGTATGTAAAGATGTTACAAGTCCACTGGATACTGTGGTGAAGATCAGACTGAATACTTCAGCTCTTTCATGGGGCCTGTGTATGTCATATGTACATTAAACTCTGCTCTCCAAAGGCACTTGAAGCTGAGTCACAACTTAATAGAACCAGTTAAATTACTTTGGAGCATTACTGAGGTGAACATATGACTTCACTGTGCAGAATGGATTGAAGGGAGCTGAGAGGCCTGGCAGCAGCCTGATGCCTTCATGAAGACAAGAGGTGTTAATGGTTTGAGGGAAAAAGTAGACACGTTTTTAGATATATCGGGTTATAGAATTGACAAGACTTGGTGTAGAAGGAGAATCGGGAATAGTGGCACTAAAGGCAGAGAGCAAAGCGTGTTAAGAACAGAGGCGTGGTCTTAGGGTCAGGTCTGCAGAGAAGTGGAATGAGAGTTTATAAATAGGCATCAGGTTTGGCCACTGTGATGTTATTTTCAGCCTTAGTAACAACAGCTGGGTGGGGTGGGGGTGATGGGATAGCTTTTCTTTTTTCCTTATTTTTTTACAGCTGGGAGCAATCTGAGCATGATTATATATTGAGAGAGAGAAGTCAGGACAGAAGAAGAGATTGAAAGAGCAGAGATGGTGGAGGGTGAAGCTACCAGGGGCTGGTATGCAGTTCACGCATATTCCTAGAGCCTAGCTCAGGGTCTGTAAGGACAGGAGACATTGGCCGTTAGTTTGGAGGAGCATGTCACAGGACGACCGGGTGTTCTTATATGCTGGCAGAGTGCCTAGGATCCAGCTTGCTTACCCATCCATTCATTCGTCAGGTCAGCCAGCTAATGTTTTTTTCAGTGCTCATCGTGTGTTCACGGTAGCGATTTCTGCTCTGCACAGGCAGGTCATGAGCTCAGTGGAACTCACTTGCCCCTGAGGGCCACTGACATCAAACGACCAATGAAGTAAGGAATTACCCAGATGCAATTGCGATGCAAGAATACGGAATGTTAAGAGCGTATGTATTAACGGGAACTGATGTGGTCTAAGGGTATCAAGGAAGCCGTTTTCAAGGTAGAATGCTTAAGCTGGTACCTAGCAGAAACCCCCCTGGTTACCAGATCAGCCATGCCTTCCCCGTGCTGCCTCCTGTAATCATCTTATTCCCGGTTCTTGGTTCACTGGTGGGCTCGGTCTCCCTTTTCTTGACACTTGAAATGTACGTTATCAGTGGGTTAGCGGGTGGGAAAACTTTCAGGAACCAGGGCTTGGCAAGGATCTTTCTCAAGCCAGCTATTGCTTCGTTACAGTGACTAAATGGCCATTTAATTTTATTCATGCTACATTGATTCCCATTGGGGGATGAAAAGGGTTTTGGGACTGAGCCTCTTAACGTCCTTTGGAGGGACCACAAGCACAGATCCTGTCACTTCTTCTTAGGAATTTTTGGTAACAGCCAATGAAAGCTAGTTGTTTTTTTTTTTTCTTACATCTACAATTTTAATGCTCTCTGGGTCAAGTGATTGGGGAATAAGCATCCACTCATGTTTCTCTCTGCAGGGAAGTGAAGATACTATTGCTGCTGTGATCTTGCCTTTATATAGCACTTGACAATCCATTTTATTGTTCAATTTAAAAGAGAGCCTAAAATCACCCCTGTCAAATTTTGTTTGGTGTGATTCAGGGAAAAGGATGTTTGTAATACTGGGCCTTCCGTGATGTGGAAGAACTCTGATCAATCAAAAGACTAGATATAATGTAAGAGAATGTGAGTATCATCTGAAGAAGGCTAGCTGTTAATAGAAGACATTAGCCACATGACACTTTTTTGTCATCTGCCTTTATAAAGAAAGAAGAAAAAATAAGAAACAAAACTTACAATAGAAATGCACCCCTGCAGGAAGCCAAACCCCCTCATGATGACTTGGTTTGTAACTAGGGCCCCCAGGGATGTTTTATGAGTGACAGTATGCATCCTTTAATATGTTTGTCCTTAAAACATTAGGTTTTATTTAAAGCAAGCGTTGGCAAACTTTTTTTGTACAGGACCAGTTAGTAATATATCAGGCTTTGCAATCTACCTGTAGCAACTCTGAGATTGTAGCACTAAAGCAGCAATAGACAACACATAGGCCAATGGACATGGCTGTTTCAATAAAACATGGTTGATGGAAGCAAGGCCACCCAGATTTGACCTGTGGGCCATAGTTTGCCAACGTCTGATCCACAGCACTTGCGAGATTTCTTTACTGAACAGAGGGTGTTGTAGATTGGAATGATTGATAGTCAGCTGAAAGCTCTAAGAAGGCAGTGATGGACTTTTCTTGTTGACTGTTGTGTCCCCAGGTCTAGCACAGCACCTGACAGATAGGAGATCGTTAAACATATCTGTTGAATAAAGGAATAAGTAGCAAGGATATCAGATGGAAAACTACCCGACTAAGGTAGGCTAGATGGTTCTATATTCAGATTTTCAGGTCCTATAACATGTTTTCTATGGCACTACCAATTTGGGGTTGAGCAAATATATTGAGTGCTTAGTTCAGAAAACAAATCCACGGGGGTGGGGGGGGTGCCTGAAGAATGAAAAAGAGCCAGCGCTATAAAAGGATGATAAAGAACACAGGTCTGTGACTCCCCACCGGTACAAATGCATGTTGTTCTCTTTGTAAGGGACCTGAGAGAGAAGGCAGCCCAGCCTCTTCCCCAGTCTGGGGCTTTCATGTCTGCTCTGTTTCCTGTGGCTTTGCTGGCATTTGTGCTGGATACCTTCTGTTTGGCCTTCCAGATCTCCTCCCCCCGCCCCCTCCACCCTGCAGGTCCACACCAGTCCCTGATCCCTCTACTGTCATGAGGATGGTCCTAGGATGGAAAGTCACAGCTCCTGCCAGGTGGTCCTGTCCCCACTGTGCTGCCTCTCCCCGTTCTGGTAACTGCTCCCTCCTCCCTCTCTTCCCTTTAGGCTCTGGGGAAGTGAAGGATACCCCTGGCCCACTGCTGTTATTTCTGGCCCTTAGCACATTGGGTTACCCCCTTAGGTTGCCCACGCCTTTAGAAATTGTCTCTTTTATTAGCCTTTCGTCATATTACCCAAATTGAGGTACCGTTAGCTTTCTGCCTGGACCCTGATGGGTATAGCATCCTTAACACTTTTTTCAAAGGCACCTGTTGTATGTCACTGTCACTGAATGACTTTTAAGTCCCCCAAAGTCAGTGACTGTGGCTTCTATTTCTTATAATCGCAAGATCTCAGGGTGAAAGTTGTCCTGGAAGGTGATGCATTTAACTTTTCTGTTCAGAGTTTGGGTGCGTTCTGCCTCATCCCTGTCATCTCTCTCTGTGCTTGAATACCTTCCACAACAGGGAACTCACTCCACCTAAAGCTCTCTCACACATCTTTAGACACATCTGACTAATAGAATATGTATACACAGCTTGCAGCCCCTGCCCTTGTCCGGTTCCTTGGGGTTTCATGGAACAAGTCCAGTTTACATTTCACTCCTCTGTTCTTCAGACAGCAGGTTTCGAGTTCCTTTTCCAGCTCTGTCTGTTTTAAAGCAGGGTGCCTAGAACAGAATCTCTTTTCTCGTGTGTCGTCTGATCAGGCTGAGTGAGCATGAACATGATAATTTTATCTGGAAGGCTTACTACCTCCAGTGATTATGAGAAGATTACATTTCCTCATTCCTTGCTTGGAAATATAA